ACTTTGGAATTTTTTTTTCGAAGTTGAATAACGAGAACTAGAGTCTTCTCGAAACTAGAAACATGAAAATTCGAAAAGATTTGAATTTAATATTATCATTATGTGATATTGTGTATTTGCAGGTGGTTCTCGACATGATTCCGAGTGCGAACTCGAGAATGGTATCTTCTCGAAGTTTAATATCGAGATTCATCTTCTCTATATTCCAAACTCGAGATCAAGTTCTCAATGTTTAAACCTCGAAAAGACTTTTCGATGTTTAAGTATCGAGAACCTGCTTCCAGAAGATTGAAATACCGAGAAGAGGTTCTCGACATTTAATCTCGAAAAGATGCTTCTCGACGTTAAAGTATCGAGAAGGACTTTTCGATATTCTTACCTCGAGAACAAGTTTCTCGATATTTGAATATCGAGAAGAGCTTCTCCGTATTTAAACATCGAGAACCTACTTCTCGATGCTCAAACTTCGAGAAGCTGGTTCTCGTGGTTTACACTCAGAGGTTTTCAAGGTTCCATCTATACTCATTTGATCTGAAAATTGCTAAAACGGAACAAAAATATAATTTTCAAATAACAATTGTGCTGACCCAATTCTTTCAGTCAATCATGTCAGGAACAGACAAAAGTGCACAGCCCAACAATTAACTGTACCCAAAGAAGAAATGGGTCCCTTTGTATGATAACAACTTCCAACTGACATAAAGCTCTTCAGGTGCCAGGATCCAGTGATACTGTCTATTCTACAGAAGCACTACCTCTGGCCCGCATTCAGTGTAGTAAAACCAGCGCCAAAGGTATACCTACAACAATTTTAGGGGCTTGATGCATACAGCCTCAGAGAAAATAGGTCAAAAATCATGACCAAGCTCAACAACGTGAGAGTGGCGCTGACACCCTCCACAATCAAGGGGACACTGAAGCTCCTAGTGCTCAAGAATTATGCATCACTCCCCTCAAACGAAGAGCTGATAAAGGGGATGAAAGATCTGGGATATGATAGCCCGTTTGTAACACCCCTAAATTTCCCGCCCAAAACATTGACATATTTAAAAGAAATACTTTATTCATTCATCAAAGAGTTGAAGAAATACAGCGGAAGTCTAAAAGGGAAATGAGTGTTACCGCCACATTCGGTCATCTCTTAACCGAATGCACAGGCAACTCAAAGTAAAACAATAAAAACTAATGTAATAATAAGTAAATGTTTGATTTATGACTAGATTTAACTAAGGCATCTTCTAATTCGCACTCAAGCTCGAGCAATCCGTCAATCCACATAGGTATCCAACTCATCACCTGATTTAAGGGAGAAAAGAGAGACAAGAAAATAACAAAAATTAGCTTTAGAGCTAAGTAAGTACTACCCAACCCCGTAAAATAATTAGGTTTGGCTAAAAATAGATTTTTATATAATAATATATAAAAATACTCACACCATCAAAATTCTTTTCACTTTGGTTTTTCTCAAACTACTTCTTTGCTAAAATCTTAAACTTCTCTTGGAAAATCTCTTAGTAACTCTTCTTTTTAAACTTCTTAAGAAAATCACTTCTTCTCTAACTTCCTAGTAATTTAGAAGGGCGGTGCTCAACCTTTCGATAAAGCCCGGTGAACCGTGGTTACGGACGGCCACCCCGAACAAGTGCCGGTACCACAACTGCTCTGTTGGAAACGAAACGACTACCTTAAGTGTGCACACCCCCTAAAAGGGATTCCAAGCCCTCCGAGTAGTAAGTCATCCCGAGTGGTCGGAACCCAACCACCCCAATTCTAAAATTCTTGAATGATTAGGGACTACTACTATAACTTCTTCTTAAAAGGGATCATAGATCCAAATCTTACTTAAAAGGGATCATAGATCCAAATCTTGCTTAAAAGGGATCATAGATCCAAACTGTACTTCTTAGTAGTAGTAGCTCTAATCACCCTCCACATTTATCCGGATGTGGAAAAACCGACACCTCGGATTACTCCCGAGATGCTATCTTCTTATGAAAATGTAAATTTTATCTTTGCTTAACAATACTTCAAAAATACTTCTTAATTTCTCTAAAAAGTCTCAAAGGTATTTAAAAGTATTTAATACCCCAAAAGTACTTGATTTATACTTCTTAATTTCTCTGAAAAGTCTCGAAGGTATTTAAAAATATTTAATACCCCAAAAGTACTTGATTTATACTTCTTAACTACCATATATATAATATCTTCTCAAAATCACATACACAAAATTCACAAATCACACTTAATCACATAATGCATAGTAAGCATATAATACGAGGAAACAATTTTGGATTGGCAGAGAAACTTACCTTAAGTCCTGATGCTCCTAGTTATCCTCCTCTAATCTGGTCTCTAGATAATCACCTTTTTAATTAAATATGATAAATTAGTCACTTATTCTATTTGTTTACTTTACCCGATTTTCCCCTTTTATTGTATTATTCGCATAAACTTTGGTTAATCACTTATTATTAATCAAATTACCTTATTAATTCAGCCATTAATTACAATATTTGAATTCTAATATTAAGTAAAATATCCGAATATTATTGACTACAACATCCACTTTTTATTCAATAATCACCATTAATTTTCTCTAATTATTATCTAATTACTTTATTTACATAACCGAAAATATTTATTTTCCTTATTTTATTCAAACATTATTTTTAGTCCAGAATATTATTTTTCAACCTCAGTGATTTATTTATTTCACCATTAATACTAATATTTCCTTATTTAATTACTTAACTAGTTTTATATGGCCTAATTTAAATAAATAGACTAAAAATCGACTTTATAAGTTAGTAACCGTCCATAAATATATTTTGGGTCTATATTAGACCTAGGTTGTCCAGATATCTATTTTATAATTATTTCCCATAATTATTCCTTTAATTTCATATATCTATTAACCGGTTTAATTACAATTAAATATACTAAACCTTATTTTTATTAATTATAAATGGTCCATAAGGTCCTAGTTAGTCATATATTTATCCTAGTTTACTCCAATATTTATTTCATAATTATTTTCGTCATTTAGTTAATTATTTACTAAATGTGTATAAATTGGCCCAATTACCATTAAATCAATTAAAAATAGCTAAAAATATTATTTTCCAATTCTGGTTGGTCCGAATATGTATATTTATACTAGGTATATAATTTATATTTTTCCAGATTATATTTATTTCATTTACTATTTTATTTTTAATTTTTATTGCAACTGGGCCGAACTGGCCCATTTATAATTTTTTCTGGCCCAACCTGAAAAGGCCCAAAAGACAGACCCAGCAATTGCTGGGTTGTCTTCTTCCCCAGGTCGCCGGAAAACGGGAAGAAAGAAGGGGGAGGGGCTAACCGCGTCGGACGGGCGAACTGTGGTGACAGAGCACTCCCTCGGGACGGCGGAGGTCTGAGATGGTCCGGCGGCGGCGGTGGCAACTCTCTTTTCCTGCTCCGTTTCCCGTCGCAAAATCAGTCCGGCGAATACTCCGGCGAGCTTGTTCTCCCTACTCCGACGTCCGTTTTCCACGATTCTTTCTCCGTTGGATTCGTCTCGCGAAGGGGAAGGTTTGAGAAGTATTTTCAAGGCTTAGTTCTAGCTAAAACGATGGGTCGCAATTTTATATATATATACGTATATATGTATGTATTGCTCAGATTTTGGGATGAAGAAAACGCAGGTTCTGGCCTATTATTTATAGGGAAAGATGAGGATTTTAGGCTGAGATGTTAGAGTTGGAGTTGGATTTAATCAATTTCGTTTTTTTTTCTTTTTGAAGTTGCCGGCCAACAATTTACGTATAGTATTGTAATTAGGTTAGGTAGTTGAATATGTATTATAGTAGGAGTATAGTATTATAGTTAGGTTATAGTAGTTTATTTAGGAGTATAGTAATTATATTTAGGTTAGGTAGCTTAGTTTAGTTATATTACGTATGTAATATTACTTAGGTTATACTACTCTTACTACGTACGTATATCTATATATATATATATGTATGTATTAAGATTATTTTAATTATTTAGTTTATATTTTGTATATTATACAATCTAAAATAGTTATATAAAAATTAATTTTATACTAAAACATAACTTCTATTATCGGGCCATTTTTATCTGATTAAAAAGTCGTAAACTTGGAAATTTTCTGTCTGGTTTACTTGTTTAATAAAATGTTGTTCCTATTACTGAAATATTTTTATCTGACTAAAACGTCATAAATTTTGAAATTTTATCTGTTTAGAATTTTACAACTGTTGAATTTTTTTTGTCTGACTCAATTAATTATTAAAATGTTATTTTCGTAAAATTTTTATCTGACTAATAAAAATTATTTTTATTTTTTTTTATTTAAATTTTTGAAGTGTCACATTCTACCCTCCTTAAAAGATGTTTCGTCCCGAAACACTAACTTAATCCAAGTACTCAAATTCTCAAGTATTACACCGTTGCCCCTGCTCTCAAACTTCACCATCTCCAATCTTCCTCACCCATGGAAGAGTCTGTTCGGCCTGGTGAACAAGTGCATGTCTCCAAAGCACGCCGAACATGACAAGTGCAACAAATAGATCCTGTAAATCTTCCATGAGATCGCCTTTGACATCAAGTATGACATGGCTCAGCTCTTCTGGATAGAGCTGATGGACCAGGTGTGTTAGGGATATTTTATGGTGTCCAATCTAGTTAAATATCTTTGTATTTGTGTAGCTATTTTGTTTAAATATTTCAGCCCATTGGCACGTTTGTAAGCTATAAGTAGAGTAAGCTTTATTAGGAAATGTGTAAAGTGTGTCATTGGGCCCAATCAATAAAAGAGCCCAATCATGCTTAAGTCACATCACACATTTCCTAGGCATATAAATATTGCCTTTAAGGGAATGTTGATCGGTATTTTTCTTGCAAGTGCACAAGATCGATGTAGTAATAAAAATAACCCAGAGTAAACCGGGGTCGATCCACAGAGACACCTGAATTTTCAGCACTAAAAATAAAAATGATTGGTTTGGAACTAAATCTATGATTTAATAAATAAATTGATTGCTTGATTTTTTTTTTCAATAAATAGGCGCAAATATAATTAACAGAGACACAAAAATTATGAATTCAGAAACAAATAATAGCTAGGGGATTGGTTTCACCATCATGATTATTCAACCGTTATCTTATCATTCAAGCCTGAATTTATGAACACGGTACCACTAAAGTATTCCTAATTTCAGTTACGACAATTAGGAATAGGCTTAATCTACTACGATCCCAATTATGGCTCACGTTAAAATAGACTAAACCCCCCTTCACCGCAAAAGTACCTAAACTATGTCATATAACACCATACATGCTTCCATTCCGGTGATTATATGTTTATTCTCAAAATACATGAATCATGCTTCAACTTTCATTCCTTCACACAATTCTGAAAAATCTATTTATATGCTGGCCACACATAAAAATAGTCAAATAAATCCAAAGAACTAAATCACACAATTCAAGCTGAAATCAAAGGTTAAAGTATCATAATCATATGGCTAATCCCCTACCCCTAGCTTGAGAGTTTAGCCTCTAATAAACATAATCACAGAAAAGTAATTGACTGAATTCATGTTCAAAAGTGATAAAAAGAAGAGATTAGAACCCTAAATTGCAGAAGTTGGCACTTGTTTCACCCGAATTCTGCTGCGTGCGTCTTTCTCCTCTATTCTCCTTGCTCTTTTTTCTTTTTCTCTTTTGCGCAGCCAGCCTCCCTCCCTTTCCTTCTGCCCTCCGTTCTTTTTTTTCTTTCTCTCCTGATGCAGCCAACGATACCCCAGCCCTCACCCTAAAGCCCAATTTCATTTTGAGTTGTTTTTCCCTCATGGATATTGGAGCCTTGTTGGCAAATTAGAATTACAATTCTTTTTTTGTAAATTGCAGCTTGCATCATTATCAGCTAAATGCTCCAGTAAGCTTCTCATGTGGCCAACCCAAAAAAAAATATATTACTAGCGGGCCTAACCAGTCAGCCCAATTGATAAGGAATCGGGTCCCGCTTTGCTTCAACAATTGTAATGTTTGGCTTCGGGATTTTTACATCAACGCCTTGACCTTTCATTTGAGTCGGGAGTATTCCATTTTCTACCTAAAATAATAATAAATCATTCAAAGTACTCATTAATAAATATAATCAAAGAATTGAGCATAACTAAAACATAAAACTCCCACAAATGCTCTAAATAATAGACAAATCAAATACTATTATGGGGTATAAAATGAGACTATCAAACTCCCCCACACCTAGCACTTGCTTGTCCCCAAGTAAGAATCATGACTTCGTCTAAATACATAGCCTGTCAACCTAACTCTAAATAAAACTTAACAAGCACATACATGCAAATAAGCATATTCACAACCATCTTTCCGTAACTGACTATAAGCAATTCATTAAAAAAAATCATCATTCAAGTCGCTCAGGAATCAAGCAAACTCCCTGGAAGTTTCAGCAACCTTTTTCACCTTCACCAAGAAACTGCACATGGTCAAAGGCCTGAAATTCTAGTCATTGTGAGGAATACAAAACGGACCCATTGTGCTAAAAAAAAACAGTTCACGGACACTTTAAAGAGATGTATGCATGGCACTTACATGACCGAGATTATCATTTATTTCTATGCAATGAGCGAACACGGTGTACAACTAAGCTCAACCGTTTTCAACACAAATGTGTATCAACGTATACTTGAAGTACGAGGAGGGACAGGTGTATAAATTCCACAAGTCTCCGGGTTCAATTATTAAAAATGCAGCTCTTTGTCATGTTGACACGGGAACACCATTTCTTTCGGAAGATCCCCAGTCTCATCTTATTGTGCTTTCACACTTACGCTTTTTGACTGGTTCACCCATGCACTTTTTCGAAAGCTAAGAGGTCTCAAGTTTTTTTTGGACATTATCCCATTCTAATCCCGGTCTCACCAAAGAGTGCGCCAATTAAAAGCGTGAGTCCATGCTCGCAATGCAATCATTAAAACATCAAAAACTCGGAAAAGAGACTGCTCATACTCCGATTTCAAGGCAGCGGAACAATGCCCAAGATGGGCTACCAAAACAACATAAATTAAAGATTTTAATGAACACTTCTTTTTAGCACAAAAACTCCCAATTAATATTCCTCACAGAGATAAAAAGTAGGCCATTGTACCTCATTATCTTAATCAGCCCTTGTCTTAAACATCAAGATCTGCCTCTGGTTGCTCATCCAAAACAGTTTGAAATCCTCCAGAACGACTATTAATGAAAACTAGTTAATGAAAAGATTATAACTAGTTACACACTCAGATGGATGAAACTATGCCTAATTACATGTATGCAAGAGTTAAGTTACTGTCAAGAATTAATGAGTCAAGCTGGGCATTTCTGAAAAAAAATCACAGATCCAAGGGGAACAACGCTAGGAGGGGAAATCACGATTTTACAATTCAAGTTAAGTCCCTCCCCCACACTTAAAGTCACATTGTCCTCGATGTGAGAGAATGAAAAAAAAAACACTGGAAAAAATAACGAACTTCCCTGAACAGATACATTGCAACTATGTTGCTCCAGCGAACTCATCGGGAAACCTACAACTAAATGCCACCTTTTTTTTAGAGACCTGCACTTCAGAAAATGAGAGAAAATGTTCCACAAGGCTGATCAGAGTCAAACCTTGATAAACCTGTGCATATCATCAAAACTTATTCACGGAAGCTCCCCCCACACTTAGGGGTGGTTAGAATGAGAATATAATCTAAAAGGTGGAGAAGAACCTGCAGCAGGAAAATTACTTTTTTTTTCATTTTCATTTTCAGTTTTTTTTTTTGTTTTTTTTGAAAGAATACTAATAAATATAAGGAAATAAAATGAAGTAAACAAAACCTTGGGGTGCCTCCCAATCAGCGCTTCTTTAATGTCATGAGCCGGACATTTGAACTTCTTCAGTCAATGAGCATGGAGGAACAGGCCACTTGCATATTTTCAGCATCGTAGTATGGTTTTAACCTCTGGCCATTAGCGAGAAAAGGTGGGTTGTCACCTTTTTTAATCTCAATGCCGCCATGTGAATGTACTTTAGTCACAGTAAAGGGCCCGGACCATCGAGATTTCAGTTTTCCCGGGAAAAGCCGCAATCTGGAATTGAATAGCAACACCTTCTGGCCTTCATGAAACTCCTTTCTGTTGATGTGCTTATCGTGCCAAGCTTTTGCCCGCTCCTTATATATGCACGCGTTCTCGTAAGAGTCCCGTCTGAGTTCCTCAAGCTCAACTATATCTAGCAGCCTTTTTTCTCCAGCAAGTTTGGCATCCATATTCAGCGCCTTGACTGCCCAGAAAGCTTTGTGTTCGATTTCAACCGGGAGATGACAGGACTTCCCGTAGACTAATCTGTACGGAGACATCCCTAAGGGTGTCTTATAGGCTGTGCGATACGCCCAAAGTGCGTCGTCTAGTCGTAGAGACCAATCTTTCCTAGAAGAATTAACTGTTTTCTCTAGGATAGATTTAATCTCTCTGTTAGAAACCTCAGCTTGTCCATTGGTCTGCGGGTGATAAGTGGCTCCTGTCTTGAAACGACACCCGTATTTGGTGAGCAAAGCTTTGAAACTTCCACTTGTAAAATGAGAGCCATTGTCACTTATGATTGCTTTAGGAACACCGAAACGGGAGAAAATATTCTTTTGCACGAACTTGATAACAGATTTGGTAGTATTATTGGGAAGAGCAGCAGCCTCTACCCATTTAGACACATAGTCTACCGCTACCAATATGTAGATATTCCCCATAGAATTAGGGAATGGTCCCACAAAGTCCAGCCCCCATACATCAAAAATTTCAACTACAAGAGTCATGTTCTGGGGCATTTCATCTCTCTTACTGATATTCCCAGTTCGTTGGCACCTATCACATACGCTAACAAAGCTCTTGGCATCTCGGAATAATGTTGGCCAATAGAACCCGCACTGAAGAACCTTAGCTGCAGTCCTCTCTGGCCCATGATGTCCACCACAAGGTAAAGCATGGCAATGACTAAGAACAGAGTGCATCTCACTCTCTGGAATGCAGCGACGTATAATTCTATCAGCACAGCACCTGAATAGATATGGATCCTCCCAGTAATAATACTTTGCCTCTGAGAAAAACTTCTTCTTCTGGTGACTATTAAGCCCGAGAGGTACGATTCCACCTGCCAAGTAATTAACCAAATCAGCGTACCATGGAGTTAAAGCCTCTTGTAATGCCCATAGGTGTTCATCAGGGAATTCATCTTGAATGGGTTCTTCACAACCATTGGGAATTTTCTCTAATCGTGATAGGTGATCTGCAACCGCATTTTCACACCCTTTTTTATCCCTTATTTCCATATCAAACTCCTGAAGCAATAAAATCCAGCGTATTAATCGTGGTTTGGCGTCTTTCTTTGAGAATAAGAATCTGATGGCTGAGTGGTCTGTAAAAACAATAACTTTCTGCCCAACTAAGTATGACCGGAATTTATCAAATGCATATACCACAGCCAAGAACTCTTTCTCTGTAGTGGTATAGTTCACTTCAGCCTCATTTAACAACCTGCTCGCATAGTAGATGACATGCAACTTGTTGTCCTTCCTTTGCCCCAAAACAGCCCCAATAGCGAAGTCACTTGCGTCACACATCAATTCGAAAGGCAATGACCAGTCAGGTGAGGTAATGATTGGTGCAGAGATTAAGGCTTCTTTCAGCTTCTCAAAAGCCTTCATACATGAGATGTCAAACTTGAAAGGAACATCTTTTGACAAAAGCTCACAGAGAGGTTTGGCTATCTTTGAAAAATCTTTTATAAATCTTCTGTAAAAGCCTGCATGCCCAAGAAAACTGCGGATTGCTTTAACTGAAGTAGGTGGAGGTAATTTTTCAATTACTTCAACCTTTGATCTGTCAACTTCTAAGCCACTTGCAGAAATTTTATGGCCTAAAATGATCCCTTCAGTCACCATAAAGTGACACTTTTCCCAATTCAGAGCCAAATTAGTTTCTTCACATCTTTCCAAAACGCGATTCAGATTCTGAAGGCATATGTCAAAGGAATCACCGTACACAGAAAAATCATCCATGAAGACTTCGATGATGTCGCCGATCATATCTGAAAATATGGCCATTACACAGCGCTGAAAAGTCCCTGGTGCGTTGCATAGGCCAAACGGCATTCGCCTATAAGCAAAAGTTCCAAAAGGACAGGTAAATGTAGTTTTCTCCTGGTCCTCCGGTGCTATGGCAATCTGAAAAAATCCAGAGAACCCATCAAGGAAGCAGTAGTATGCATGTCCAGCCACCCTCTCGAGCATCTCATCTATGAATGGTAATGGAAAGTGATCTTTTCGGGTTCCAGAATTCAACTTTCTATAATCGATGCACATTCTCCAACCTGTGATGGTGCGGGTGGGTATGAACTCGTTCTTCTCGTTCAGCACAGTAGTGATACCACCCTTTTTAGGAACAACCTGAACTGGACTAACATATTTGCTGTCTGATATAGCAAAAATAATCCCATAATCCAGTAGCTTAAGGACCTCTGCGCGTACTACTTCCTTCATGTTAGGATTGAGTCGCCGTTGGTGTTCAACTGTGGGCTTATGATCTTCTTCCATAAGAATCCGGTGCATACATATGGAAGGGCTTATCCCCTTGATATCAGCAAGAGACCAGGCAAATGAAGCTTTATGATGTCTCAAAGTTCTCATCAACTTATCTTCTTGCTCCCTGGAAAGTGTAGATGAAATGATTACTGGAAAAGTTGAGTCCTCCCCTAGGAACACGTACTTGAGATTTGGTGGGAGAGGCTTCAAACTTGGCTTAGTTGGACAACTTGTGGAAGCATTTACTTCTGATTTTTCTCTTTCTAGTGCTTCAAATCTATGTAAGAAAGTGCGGTGGGATCTGCCTTCCTCCAGAAACATCACTTCTTCAGCTAGTTTCAGATTCTCTTCTCTTTCAGTTGATCCTCTTGTCAAGTAAGCGAACAAAGGGTCTTCATAGAACTCCGTTTCAAAAACATCCTGCACTAATGTTTCAATCATATCAACCTGAAAGCATTCAGGTTCTGACGGATGCTTCTTCAATGATTTCCATACATGGAACTCTTGTTCCTCATCCCCCACTCTAAGTTTGACTGTTCCGGCTTGCACATCGATAACCGCAGCTGCAGTAGCTAGGAATGAGCGCCCGAGGATAACTGGTATCTCCATCTCTTCCATATCTAAGACAAGGAAATCTACTGGGAAGTAGAATTTCCCTATCTTAACGAGAACATCTTCTAACACCCCAATAGGATGCCGAATAGAGCGATCGGCCAGCTGCAGAGATACTGTGGTGGCTTTCAACTCACCAACATCAAGTTTCCTGAAAAGAGAATATGGCATTAAGTTAATACTAGCCCCTAAATCGCAAAGAGATTTTACCTCACCAATGTTTCCCATAGAACATGGTACTGTAAAGCTTCCAGGATCTTTAAGCTTGGGAGGCAACTTGTTTTGAAGAACTGCACTGCACTCTTCTGTTAGAGCAACAGTGGCATAGTCAGCTAGCCTCCTCTTGTTGGATAATATCTCCTTCAGAAACTTTGCATAGGTAGGGATTTGAGAAATGGCCTCTGCAAAAGGAATGTTTATATGAAGTTTGGTAAAAACTTCCATAAACTTCTTGAATTTATTATCATTATCTCTCTTTTTCAGTCGTTGAGGAAACGGTATAGGTGGAGTGTAAGACTGGATCTTTGGATGGGAAGGTAATGATTGATCAATGTCTTTCCCAGCTTCTTCCTCGGGGGATTTTAATTGCGTCTCAATTATGGGCTGAAGTTTCTCAACAGGATCTGCCAATTCTTTTCCACTCCGCAATGTTACCGCCATAGCGTTCTCCCTGGGATTAACTTCAGTACTGCTGGGCAGTTTCCCTTGCTCCCTCACAGCGTTTTCTTTCGCTAGTTGACCAATCTGGCGCTCAAGAGCCTGAACCGATGTCCTGGTGTATTGCTCAACATTATCAATTCGTGTCATCATTTTCCTATTCTGATCTTCAACACGAAAGTCGAGCTTGCTGAACATGTTATTGAGATTCTCCACAGAAGTTTCAAGTTGAGTGAATCTAGAATCAAATTTTTGATCAATATTGTTCACGCTCAACATGAACTTCTTCATCATCATGGTCAGATCATCATTTACATCATGGGAGCTGTTGCTTTGAGGTTGAAATCTCGGGGCTGCATTCTGTCCAGTAGGTACACCAGAAGGCTTCCAGGATTGATTTTGTTGATTTCCCCAGCTTTGATTTTGGTTGTTCTGAAACTGGTTACTTCTTTGCATTCTCCCTCCGTAGGAATTCAAGTAATTTGCATCCTCCAAATGTGCTGATTGGCCTGTGTCTGAAAAGTTCAACCCGGTTTCAACTTGTGCTACTTGTGCATGGGGATTCAAGACTGCTCCCAATCCAACTTGAATGGATGTTTTGATATCGTTCTGGAGAGTTTGGTGAAACTCATTGAATCTTCTGTCAAGCTCATGGGATATGTTTATCCCATTCACCTCCACCGTTGAGTTTCCAGTCCCCTGAAGTTTTGGGTTTCCAGCTATTGATTCAAAAATCTGAAGTGCTTCACCTTCTGTCTTGTTTCCTATATAGCCGTTGGCTCGATTGTCCACGATCCCACGACAATACGGATTCAGAGCATTATAAAAAATGTCCACTTGAAGATCTCTGGGGATTCGATGATGTGGGCACTGACGAAGCATGCTAGAGAATCGCTCCCATGCCTCTTGAAACTGCTCTCCTCCTTTCTGGGAAAAATTGTATATCTCTTCCCTCAACTTCTGAGTCATATCGGGGGTGAAGAACTTGCCAATAAATGCATTGTATACCAAGGGCCAGGTGTTGTAAGCTCCCGGCCGTTGATCAAGGAATCATTTTTTTGCTTTCCCCTGGAGTGTATAAGGGAAACATCTCAATTTCAGCTCATCTTCTGCTAGTCCCCGTCTTGGAATTAACTGGAGAGCTCCAAAGAATTCGTTAATAAAATTCAATGGATTTTCCCCCGCATTTCCATGAAAGGTAGGCAAATTATTGAAGTGGGCAGCTTTCAACTCATAATCTTGTGCACCATCTGAAAGAACAATGCATGATGGGGTATCCGCAACCTCTGGCCTCTTCCTCTCGTTCAACGTTGGTTCTGCCATCTTAGTTTTCTGAGATCTTCTATTAGCTTTGCCGGCTTTGCAGGTTCTCTCGATCTCTAGATCAAGTGGTGCTAGATTTTCAGGACCGTGTCTTCTCAAGATCATACACCGAGAGAATCTGTGAAAAGCACACTAAAGCAAAACGAAACATGGAAATAATAATAATAATAATAAAAGTAAATAAAGTGCAGAAAATTCAAACCGTGCTCCCCGGCAACGGCGCCAAAAACTTGATCGGTATTTTTCTTGCAAGTGCACAAGATCGATGTAGTAATAAAAATAACCCAGAGTAAACCGGGGTCGATCCACAGAGACACGTGAATTTTCAGCACTAAAAATAAAAATGATTGGTTTGGAACTAAATCTATGATTTAATAAATAAATTGATTGCTTGATTTTTTTTTTCAATAAATAGGCGCAAATATAATTAACAGAGACACAAAAATTATGAATTCAGAAACAAATAATAGCTAGGGGATTGGTTTCACCATCATGATTATTCAACCGTTATCTTATCATTCAAGCCTGAATTTATGAACACGGTACCACTAAAGTATTCCTAATTTCAGTTACGACAATTAGGAATAGGCTTAATCTACTACGATCCCAATTATGGCTCACGTTAAAATAGACTAAACCCCCCTTCACGGCAAAAGTACCTAAACTATGTCATATAACACCATACATGCTTCCATTCCGGTGATTATATGTTTATTCTCAAAATACATGAATCATGCTTCAACTTTCATTCCTTCACACAATTCTGAAAAATCTATTTATATGCTGGCCACACATAAAAATAGTCAAATAAATCCAAAGAACTAAATCACACAATTCAAGCTGAAATCAAAGGTTAAAGTATCATAATCATATGGCTAATCCCCTACCCCTAGCTTGAGAGTTTAGCCTCTAATAAACATAATCACAGAAAAGTAATTGACTGAATTCATGTTCAAAAGTGATAAAAAGAATAGATTAGAACCCTAAATTGCAGAAGTTGGCACTTGTTTCTCCCGAATTCTGCTGCGTGCGTCTTTCTCCTCTATTCTCCTTGCTCTTTTTTTCTTTTTCTCTTTTGCGCAGCCAGCCTCCCTCCCTTTCCTTCTGCCCTCCGTTCTTTTTTTCTTTCTCTCCTGATGCAGCCAACGATACCCCAGCCCTCACCCTAAAGCCCAATTTCATTTTGAGTTGTTTTTCCCTCATGGATATTGGAGCCTTGTTGGCAAATTAGAATTACAATTCTTTTTTTGTAAATTGCAGCTTACATCATTATCAGCTAAATGCTCCAGTAAGCTTCTCATGTGGCCAACCCAAAAAAAAATATATTACTAGCGGGCCTAACCAGTCAGCCCAATTGATAAGGAATCGGGTCCCGCTTTGCTTCAACAATTGTAATGTTTGGCTCCGGGATTTTTACATCAACGCCTTGACCTTTCATTTGAGTCGGGAGTATTCCATTTTCTACCTAAAATAATAATAAATCATTCAAAGTACTCATTAATAAATATAATCAAAGAATTGAGCATAACTAAAACATAAAACTCCCACAAATGCTCTAAATAATAGACAAATCAAATACTATTATGGGGTATAAAATGAGACTATCAAATGTGCAAAGAGACTTTAGAGATTATTCACGCATACATCATTGTAGTGAGAGAGAGAGAGCAACCCTTGTATTTCTCGATGCTCGTTCAGAAGTTCAGAAGTTTGATACTCTATATCATATGTTTTTAGTTTGATTGTTGAAACAGGGACAAACAATTGGTATCAGAGCGAACAAGTTCTCGAAGCACAAATTCTCGATAAGATTCTCAAAACACAGGTGCGGAAATTGGTTTTCGAGGCTCCATCGAAAAGTCTTTCTCAATAGAATGCTTCTCGACATGAAGTTCTCGATAGACAGCTTCTCGACATGAAGTTCTCGATAGACAGCTTCTCGACATGAAGTTCTCGATAGACAGCTTCTCGACATGAAGTTCTCGATAGACAGGTTTTCGACAGGAAGTTCTCGATAAACAGCTTCTCGAAAGGGTTTAGGTTCGATAAGTTTACGGAATTCTTGTCGAGAAGTTTGGGCAAAACAGATTGAGATCAAAAAAAAAAGGAAAGAGGGGCAAAATTGTCTTTTGAGACCCGTTGAATTTTACGGCTATCGTGTCCGCAGGTCGCCCGCGCAGGGGTGTGCGAATTTTCGATTCTGAACTAGAAGCCGGAATTCTTGTGTGCGCGATAGCTCCCCTCTTCTCATTCACCTTTTAATACTAAGAGAGGAGTGGTTCATACATAAAGGCTCAAAAGTTCCCTAAGAGTTTAGGTGTGGGAAAGTTAAAGAAGCCCACTTTCCACCTTTGCTTGAAAGTGTACACTTTTCATCTATCTTTTTCAAGAGCTAGTTAAGAGCCACTTCAAACCACAAAGTCCAAAATTCCAACACCTTTGCTTGAAAGTGTACACTTTTCATCTATCTTATCCACTTAATGAAATGTTTGTCGATCCCGGTTATATCTTTAACTATCTTCCTCTCGAATACTCAATCGAGGAGTATATCCAGTTCATCGAGGGTAGTTATTAATAATGAGATGCGTTCATTAATTAAACTTACTATCGAGTCAATATAGAACACGCGCCGTATATTAACTTGATAGTAGCAATAAACTCAAGATGAAAACGATTGAAATTGATAACCTCAACACAAGCGGTTTATTGGTTTAATCAATATAATTAATTCATCTTGACATATTAACCATGAGATTCATGCATTAATACTCCAAGTTTACTACTGTTGAAAGAACCGGATTAATAACAAGCGTATTAACCGATTGATTCTAGTAATAATTAATATAAGAAACAAAACTAGTTGATACTTTAAGTAATGTTCAAAATATTAACATGAAATATGAATAGGAATTAATTAATACTCAAGGAAGAATATTAAAGGATATGAATCCTACTATAGTTAATATCAAGATGTTAACTAATTGTCATCTTAGTAACACTCCCCAATATTAACATAGAGGAAGAAATAACTATTACTATAACCAATGTCAAGATGTTAACTAATTGTCATCTTAGTAACACTCCCCAACTTCGATATGGAAATAGTATTTTAAAGGAAGAATTAATATTCAAGGAAGAAGATTAAAGAAAATAACTCACAACTTACAAATTCATTAAGCTTCAAAGTAGCAAAACCAAGATGGAAGAGTTTAGCTCCTCATTTGGAGACTAAACATGATGAAAAATATAAAGAAAGAACGATTCTAGACTGAGCTTAGATGTATAAAGGAATTGGATCCTTAATTGTGAAGGAAAGGGGGGTGTATTTATAGGCTTTTGAGATGCAGCTCGGGTACCCGATCGGGTATATACAAGGTACCCGATCGGGTATGTGTAATACCTCAAATTCGAGGTATACTCGATCGATCATTGCCTAAATTTCATAAGCATACCCGATCGAGTATGCCTTTGTACCCGGTCGAGTATGCTTATAACTTCAGATCCGGGGCATACTCGACCGAATTCAGGTTTGTTTTTGAAGAGTTACCCGATCGGGTGTGTCGGTGTATCCGATCGGGTATGGACATTCGATCATGGTCTGAATCTTCGCTGCATGATCCTTTGTCTTCGGATCTGATCCGATTTGAAATTTCAACAAGATACCCGATCGAGTATAGGTCATACTCGACCGGGTATAGACAAAAAAATTAGGATCTTCTTTCTTTTTGATTTTTGCACCTTCCTTCCACTTCTTGGGGTTCACCAACTGTCCTTTGAGTTAATCAAGACCTGTTTGAGCTCAGAATAAACATAATCTAAACAATTTACAAGAATTTAACAAACTAAACTATTACACCAAAAGTGTGTAATTTCCAAAGTAAAAATCAATCAAAACTAATTAAAAACACAAACATACAAATGGAAATTACAAGCGTATCAACTCCCCCACACTTAGTTTCTTTACTCGTCCTCGAGTAAAGTCAAATGTTCACAAGTGTTTAAGTTTTCCAAAGTTTCAACAATTTTACAAAATAAAAGCACAAAGACCACCAATGATAAAATATGAGTTTTAAGTAGAAATATTATCTTGGGTTTTATGGCCTTCTAGTGCTCATCTTCTCTTCTCCTCGTCTCTTCTTCTTCCCGTTCTTCTTGACTCTTCTTTTCTTCCAAGGAGATGAAATGAGTGCCTGCAAGAACAAATATTTCTCTCATATTTCTCATTTTGCCTAGGAGCGTTTTCAGGTTTTCATCCTAGCATCTCTTTTCATTTTTCATTCTCCCCAACCCACTCATTTTTTATATAATCCTTTTTTTCTTAGATTGCCCATTTTGTTGGGTTTTCAACCTAACTAGCATTTCTTTTCTTTTATTCATTCTTTTTTTTAATACCAATGGTAAAAGAAATTCATGCGTAGTGAAAGGGAATAAATGAAAATACATACCATAAGAGTCTCTCCCCCACACTTAGGCCAAACACTGTCCCTAGTGCCCGCCTTCTCCGCCGTAGTAGCTGCCTCCGAAGCCGCTCCCCTGCCCGCCATCTCCCATGTATGTGTCCCCGCCATCTCCGATGTCGTACCCTCCACCCCCAGAGCTAGATCCTCCAAAGTTACCCCAATGAGTGGAGTCATACCACGAGGGTGGTGGAGGGGGTTCGCCATGGTCTGAAAAGATCCCTGCTGGGCAATGTAAGAGTACATATGTCCGTAGAACCTACGTTGATCTTTTTCATACCGATGCCTATCGGCTTCCCGGAGCTCCTCCAACCGTTGAAAACCCGCCCTTTGCTCCTCCTGTATTTGGTTGAGCCGGTCTCCCATGGCCATGTAGTTTGTGTTCATTTGATTGTACCCCGTAAGCAATTGTTGTTGACCCTCCAAAAGTTGTTGAAAGAAGTCGGGTGGTGGAGGGTTTTGAGTTTGCTCGGGGATGTCAGAGTCCATGTCTTCATGACCATGGGGTTCAGCATAAGGCTCGTACTCGGGTTGGTATTGGGGATGCTCTTGTTCTGGTTCTTGGAGATGCGGTGGAAGTGCATGTGGGAATAGGTAATGGGGTACCTCCAACGCTTCTTTGTAGCGCAGTTTGGGAAGTTCTTGGTAAGGTAAGAGGAAGTATTTGAGAGGCTTGGGGTGTATGAGCCAGTTATACATGTTTTTTGGTCGTTCACCACCATAAACTGTATGGGAAAAGGCTGTGCATCCCGAATGGCCTAACCAAGAGATGTTCATCCAACAATAGTCGGGTATAGGAGAGTTATCCGTATACCCGAACTTGGTGGCTAAGTGCATAATCACCCACCCACAACAATAGCCCCCTTGGCTGCGCTCTCCTTTTTGAGATGTGCCCACATAAGATTGCACAGATTAAAGTCCACATGAATACGGAATAGGGCTACAGACATCAAGCATACATCCCCCATCCTAGTGTGATGGTTGTTGGGACGTCCAAGCAAACAATTGGCAAGAAATTTCAAGAATAATCGGAGGACGGGGTGTTGGACATGACTAATATACAGTTGGGAGGAGCTAAATTTTGCTTCCCCGATCATCTTTGTCCACAGGGAATGGCCGAAAGCAGTGTTATCAGATATGGATTTTTGGTAGGGAACCGGAATGCCAAAATGTTCGGCAAACTCAAGTTTCGTTATTGAATGGTTTTGGTTAAACAGACGAAACTTGAGTCTATCATCCCTAAAATCAGCTTCATCGGTCTCAAATTGCACCGAACTCATGAACTCATAGATTATTTTTTCGTTAGAGTTGTATTGCATTTTGAATATACGATCCATGCTCAACTCATGAAAAAAAATTCCTAGTGCTCTTATACACTCCTAATTCATTGAGAGCATCATGACATAAAAAACGGGAAGGTTTTACTTGCCTTGCAATTGTGGTGATGAACCGAGTTCGGTGTTCGTTGTCGGCGAAGATGAGGTCCTCGTAGCCTGGGATGGGTGCCATAGCGTTGGAGCTCTGCCCTTTATCCTTCCTTGGTGCCATTTTTGGGGGATTTTGAGCTTGAAATCCGAAACTTGAAATTTGGGGGTAGGGTTTTTTGGACCTTTTGAAACTGGGGGAAAGTTGGATTGGTGGGTATGGGTGTGTAGAGGAAGGTGAGGGGAGTATTTTGGTGGTGGAATGGGGTGATTTGGTGAAGAAA